AAACTGGACTTTTAAAGTCAGTTAACTCTCTTGCCTCGGGAAGATGGCCCACTTGCGGACTGCCGTTTCTTCATTGGCTGATAATAGAATTGCATTATTGCGCTGAACGATGTCACTGATTTCGTAGTGTTGTCTCCAATTTTGTAGTTTTTGCGTGTTCGTGATTAAGCAGTCTATGAAGTAATTATTGTTGGCGTGTTGATTTATAAGAATTGACTTCAATATGTTTTGCGTTTTGACATCTTCCCGAGGCAAGAGAGTTAAATGACCATAAAAGTCCAGTTTCCACCCTTGCCGAACTTGGCTGGTATCATGGAGTTACATTTTGGCTTGACTAACGAGTCTGTGCATAGTCCAATCAAAATCGCGCAACAAAATCGAAATCCTGTTCGTAAATTGTGATGCAGATATTGGTCGATTTCAGGATTTGCAAAGCATGTGCACCGCTATCTCGTTGTCAACACATATTTTTTTAATCTTGTCATGTTTTTAATCAAGATGCTCACGTGATTTGATGCACTTCGCGATGTAAGGCCTGTTTTATCACAATATAGACCTTGATTATCGATCAGATCGTCTTGTCTGGACTCCGCCATTTTGTTTGAAGCAAATGCAAGTAATACGAGAGGTGGAATCTGATTGGTCCATAGGCGAGGCATAGGAGGGACATTACTCGTAACAGCCACTAATTGAGTTTCGATCGAGCCCAGAAATTCGAGCCTAGTTCGGCAAGGTTGGAAACTGGACTTTTAAAGTCAGTTAACTCCCTTGCCTCGGGAAGATGCGTTTAGAGGTATAAACGTAAAAACCGATGTCCACACTTTGAGTAAATCCGCTTCGTGCATTTTACATGTATGCACACGGGTGTTAACATTTATACCACCATGAAAGCGAAAGATATTGAAGTCATTTTTAAGTAAACATCGAACTGCCCAGAGGTTTTGTGACACAGAGCCGGACCACAAGCCGTTCGTGCGGTGAGAGCTTGATGACTAACTTTAACTCCCTAACGACTGTCCTAGCAACCAACTGAACCAATGAACATCGCTGACGTATTAGGTGCTGCCTTATACCTTGTTCAAAATACATCAACAATAATAATTTCACAGACTGTTTGTCAAATCATTAGAACAAAAAGACTGAAGACATCAATACGAAATCGGTGACATCGTTCCGCGCAATAATGCAACCCATGCCCCGCCCATCCGATTAGGAGCTCATTCAATCAGGAGACAGTCCGATAATGGGCGTGGTTTGATTTCTTTTTCGGTTTGTTGGAAAATAAACGAAAATAATTGCTTCGTTAGCCAATCAAATGCAATGGACGCAATTTGCAATTTATTTACTGCATACCCTACCACTGCATTGTGGGAATGTTAGGTTCTCATCACTTATTCGATAGTTGTACAAATATTCCAACATCGAGGCTGCCTTTTTCGGAACGCGGGATTCAGGGGATATTCTTTATATATCATATATTTTCATTAATTTAACTTTAAATTGCACTCTTTTATGAGCCATGAACATGTTTTCTAGGTTTTCATCAGTGATCAACATTCGGCCTTTCTACTGTGAATTCTGACAGTGCTTTCGAGATTTGTGTTGATAGTATTTGGGAATCAGGGCTAGCAAATGATACTCAGAGTGATAAATTAGATGGTTTACGGTAGTGGGGGGTTGGCACTCTCAATATTATCTGCTTGTGATTTAAACTGTTGAAAGAGTACCAAGTGTCCTCAAATGACATTTAATAAATGATAATCTTGTTTCCTGCTTAACCATATATTAGAGCGTAGCAGTAGCAGAAGGTGTATGCCTGTCGTGGTCGCTATTATATGGTGCATTGATTAGTTATGTACACTACCAAAACCGACAGTAGTCTACCATTGCATTAACTTGCCATTTGTTTTATCAGTGACATTAAAGACACCTCGGTTGTGTATGCGCAGGTGGGATATGTATAGCTGTTGTGGTAAGAGCAAACTTCAACGTGGAATCATCAAATTATTTTTTTATATTTTTATTTTATTTTATTTTTTTAAATTTATTAATTTATTTTTTAAAATATTTTTTATATATATTTTTTAATTAATTAATTTATTTATTTATTTATTTATTTATTTATTTATTTTTTCATTCATTTATTTATTTATTTCACATAAGAATATCAAATGAATTGAGATACTTTTGAAAACATGATCCACCTAGCGTTTCAGTAACAGTTGAATGGATGCTCAAGAAAGGTACCATATCGATTCCGTTATAATAATTGTTGACTACATAGAACGAAATAGTTTTAGTCACGTAGATCTCGCGTTGTTCTGTGTGATTGATGCACGTGGGAGTTGACTGAAGAGCTTTCATGGACGTTCGGGTCAGGTTTGTATTGGTAAGTCCGCAACTGAGAAGAAGTGTTTCAATTTGAATATGACTGGAGTTCGATTATGCCAACGTTAACATATTTAGTTTATTCTGATAAGAGATCGTATTGTAACCTTAATATCACCACCTTAGAACTAACTTGCATCATCTCGAATGTCTACTACATAAAAGTCACAGATATGGGTTATGCCAAGAGCAAGTGGCTCGCCTATTTAGGTCATCACTCTTCACCATGATTGACAAGGTGATCATTGGGCCCAGCTCTCTCATCATCACTCAATTTTTGTTTTGGGGGAGGCAAGTTATTCCTGTTTGGTTTATGTAAATATATTAGGGCCAGGATTTTAAAAAATAGATCACAATAAATTGATTATTTGTTTTCTGAAACCCGAAAGTTCTGAACATTCTTGCTTGACAACGGTGTAAGGATCTATACCGAAACGTCGCTTTTTACATTATTAAAGAAGTTGTTTTCCATAAAATTGTGTCTACCTTGTCATCTGTCAACTTCTAAGTAATGCCTATCAAACAATTCTGAACATTTGTCAAGAAAAATTAGATTTTTTTTCGAGAGACTGATATTTTCATTTAGAATAACATCGTCAATTTTGGAATAAAGATTTAATCTGTGGCTGTGGTATATTCAGCTACTGACTTCAGCAAACATGCAGGGTTTAGGGCCGAACATAAAAACTCTCCTTATTCCTATTTGGAAACAATAGTTAGTATTAAAGTACATATGTCTTGTTATTGATATGCCAAGGTCGGGAATACGTGAATGTCGTGTAACGATACAATGAGCAACAGGATACATTATTACGGCGGTCATCGCGTGATTCGGACAGACTGGCTTTATATTAGATCTGTCACCCTCCACATTTCATTACTGTCGCATAAGGCAATATGGAGCCAAAAAAATACTTCAAGCTTTTTTTGCGATATGAGATTATGTTTTTCAACGGCGTAATAGCATATCCCCGCGCCCTCCCCAGAAAATGAATTTCTTTCCATGGTAAGGTGAGGTGAGGTGAAATTGGGTTTAACGTCGCGTCCAAGATTATTGCACTTATATAGCGACGTGCGTGCACGTGTATTTGTGTGTGTGGCTGCTTGTACTAGTCCGGACTGATGCCGATTTATAGTGCTAGCTCACTGAGATACCATGCCGCAGTTTAACATGAATACCCCACTCAGACACAGTATACTGACTCCGAGCCGACCAGTCCTTGTTTTAGCCCCTTAATGCCGAGCGCCAGACAGGGTAACAACAAGTACAATCTTTTAACGTCTTTTTGTATGACGCGGCCCGGGATCGAACCCTGGACCTTCCGCTCTCCGGGCGGACGCTCTACCACAAGACCACGGAGGCGGTCATTTTCCATGGTAAGCTAGTGGATTCTGCTCGACAGTCAAGTGCGCATTTCCAATCTAGATCATGTCTATTGTTTAACACCGCACTCAGCAATGTCCCAGCCATGAGGCGGGGATCTGTAAATAATCGAATCTGGGCAAGACCATCCAGTGATTGACATCATGAGCAAAGATCTATGCAATACGGATACGGTGACGTGTATGAACCAAGTCAGCGAGCCGATTCCGTCAGTTACACTTTTCGAGAAGCATGCAACGGTTGCTGACGTCCAAATCTAACCAGGATCTTCACTGGGGCTACATTCAGCCTACGACGTACGTTATCTTGAAGACTGATGGCAGTTATTGTAACTGCTAGGCTGATATGTATCATAAAGTTGAATACCAGAACAAACACTCTTTGAGCGATCAATCTTTATTTGTAGTGAGTGAGTGAGGTTTTGTGCCCTTTTAGCAATATTCCAGCAATATCACGGCGGGGGACACCAGAAATGGGCTTCACACATTGAACCCATGTCGGGAATCGAACCCAGGCCTTCGGCGTGACGAGCAAATCTTTATATGTAACCCGTTTGACATAGCAAATTGCATAGGAAGCATCCTGTTTACCCCTTGGGATGATGATGATGATGATGATGATGATGATGTATACATTTACATAGCACTAAAATCCAGCTAATCTGCTCGAAAGCGTTGTTGGAGACTGTATCGATGACATAACAGTGAGTCTACATATAGCCTTCATTGAACTGGTGAGTTTGAAGTTGTGATTGGAAGATGGTTATTTCTGTACCAGAATTGTCATGTGAAATATGTGAGGTGGGTGTTGGAAAATCCAAAATGGATGCTACTGACGATATACGGTCTCATGTGAGGTTGTTAGTTCTGCTCTCTGATTGGTCAATCTCAGTTTGAGGCATAATAGACACATATATGTATGTTTTCTATTTCTTATTAAATTTATCAATCCCAGAAATATATATATATATATATATTTGTAAATTGTCTGGCAAATAATGTCTATGAACAAACAATCATATTTCAACATTTTGCAAATAATGTCTATGAACAATAAAATTTCTACATGTGAATGTTCAACGTTAAACACTAACAGTATTTGACTTTCAAGGTCGACTTCACGACGGGCACCTGTTCTTGTCACGTGGCATTTCAACCAAAACAAACCCACGTGCTCTGTTACTATACATAGCTATCAGCTATACTTCCGGTAGCTGAGGCTGGGCATTTTGGGAAGGGAAGTCTCCAGTCGATCGCAAAAACAACCGAAGAAATATTGTTTACAAAAACAAGAAATTTGCAAATATTTGCAGCATGGAGACCCTACTCTCCGCTGAGGCAGATTCTGCGGGGTCCGATACGGTCACCATGGAGCTGAAAAACGGTAAGCGAGTGCCATTTTCTGGGTATGCGCCCCCAGAACTTGTTGCAGTGTCGTGATGTCGCGAGTTGATCTCGAAATACGCAACTTGTCGCATCAACGTGCTGCACACAGGTGTTTAATCCGGTACAAAAATACACGAAGCGATTCCATCGTGGCCAAACACACTCTGATCACATTCAGTTATTTCCGGGACGTCGGTGTTTCGAGTAGGGAAACATATAGGTCGCGGTTAATAAAACCAGATCAAAATCGTCTGCAAAGGTTGAACAAGATGCACTGAAATTGACCTTTGGGTGCTTCGAGAGTTGTTAGTGTAAGTTGTTTTTGTTGATGATACCACCCAGACTAGACTTGTATCGTGATGTCGGGCATGACTAGTGTTTAGAATGACGCAGCAGCTCTCTTACAAGACGAAGCCTCGGCGTTATGTCACGAATATGAAGTTGACATGTCACGCTTGTTTACATCTACCCATCCACGTATATAGGTGAGGCTGCTGAACTTTGTATTTGTTTACAAGTTTATAAAACACAGAACTAGTAAGTACTGACGAACTGGCTCCAGGAATAAAGTCATACCATACAAGCTCTATTGGTTTTAATGTTTTGCAAACATTAATGATGAACTTTAACAGAGCTTCTCAAGCAACATTATCAAATGAGAAAATGTAAAGAGTTACGCAATTTAGTTGGCATCAACCTGGTGGGTCTAGAGGGTGGGTGCAGAATCCCCAAACCCCCCATTCCCACTTTGTAGACACCTTACATGTTAACTGCACCCTTGGCTAAGTCATTTATTTCAAAGTCCCGGATCTTGGGCCAATCCTTTTTTTCCAAAGTCCTGCATCTGCCTCTGATCGTTTCATGTAGTAAGTTTCATATTTTGAATCCATACCCAAAGATGTACTTGACCCTACTTGGCCTAGATGAGGACCAATTAAAGCAGCTTTGAACTAACACCAACCTGCTCACCCATGACATGTACTTTTGAATGTAAATTGTGGTCACAAGCCCTGCTGGCAAGTTAAATCTCAAACCAGAAACAAATATTTCTGGATAAATTCAGGTTATTTTTGCATAAACATGACAAAGTAAGTTGCAAACTCGTGAGTTCTTATCACATCTGTGACTATGATACTCTCTTACATGTCTTATAATTATATCTTCAGATAAAAAGGTACCCCTGGGCTAGTTGTATTCATCAGGGCTATAACTTAAGTAGTGAAAAGGACATGTTTGTAGCAGCTCTACCTCATCATTGTCAAAGCCGATGAAGCTTTTATGTTAATTCTTGATGCTGTAATTAGTGTAAAGGTGTTGGTGACCCTGAAGTCTCAAGACAATATTTACGTCAAAGTAAATATGGTTGCGGTGGGGTAGCCTTGTGTTTAAAGCGTTCGCTCATCACAACGAAAACCTGGGTTCGATTCCTGACATGGGTACAATGTGGGAAGCCCATTTCTTGTGTTCCCCGCCGTGATATTGCTAAAAGCGGCGTAAAACCTCACTCACTGACTCACTCATAGTAAATATGGCTGAAACGATTCATCAGTACACTGTGATATTTAACTCAACAATACAATATACTATATGCTTTATGTTGTATCAGAGCACATCGTATCACATTATATGGTTAACAAACTACTCATCTGGGTGGAAGCTGGACTTTAAAAGTAAGTTAACTCCCTTGCCTCAGGAAGATGCAAATTACTAGGATCTGCATTTAGCTGTATCATGTGAAGTGATTTTGCCAAGACAAATGTCAGTAGGATGCTGAAGAAGATGCAACTTGCAAGTCACATAACTGTTTTTTTTCCTTGACTTACAAAACTGAGGGTCAAGAGGACCCCCAGTAATTAATTTCAAGGGTCCTTACAGAAAATATGAGGGTACTGTGAAGTAATAAAAGGGTGTAGTGTACTGTACTGTAAGATTTGATAATTACCTTAATTACAGGGTCTTTATATTTCTTGTTAAGAATTTGTTACAAGGAATGTTACTTTACAGCATACTTACAACGCACTGTGTATTGTTTGTGTCCATTCTCTACATTTGTGAGTACTGGGTGCATATTTCTGCATTGTGTAAACTCTGCGTAACTAATTTAACTAAAACAAATTGGCCATGTTGCTGTTTTTGCAATACTCTTGTGCATAATCAATATTTTTATGTGCTACAGATATGAATATGGGCCGATGGTATAAGTTGAAAAGTGAAGATATAATTAAAGAAAAGTTTGTGTTCTTTTGACTTTGCCAAAATGTGATGAAGTATCTTGAGCACTTCATTTACTAGAACAATGCACCATTTTTCTTGTGGAATTCAGTTCTATGTGGAAGCATCCCAAATGGCAAGTGGGGCCAAGTATCAGTAAGCACAACAGTGCAGCAGCAGTAGACTGCATTCATACCAGAAATCCCATTTGTACTAAGTAAGAGAATCTCACCCGTGTGTCTTTTGATATCAAATATATCAACATGAGTTGATACAAGTGGGAAAACTCCGAGGCTTGCCGAGGTTTTTTTTCCACTTTTATCAACGATTGTTGACATATTTGATATCAAAAGACACGAGGGTGAGATTTTATTTATCATCCAACATCATTCTTCCAACTTTTTCAGTTTGTAGAAAGAAATAAGCAGTGTCTTAAGTGTAAAATTACTAAAAAGTACTGCTAACAGCTTCAGTAGCAGAGCCATTAGTGATGTTAATTGATTGTGGTAACCAATGACATCACAATGGTCTGCAAAGCATTGTGATGCAATTTCATTGCAGTGATATCTACAGTGTAGATATAGCTTGATCTCACCCAAGCAATATCTCCTCTGGGAGCCAGTTTTGGATGATAAATCACAATAATCATTATTTGACCTGACAGACATTTTGAGGGGAGGGTTTTTTACAGATTTTTGGTCCAAAAATTCAAGTTGGTAGGTCGAAAAAATATTTTTTAAAATTGAAATAGTTTTGTTGATCTCCTCAACATGCTCAAAATGATAAAAGTCTGCAGGAAAAAAGTGTGTGGAAATAGTGAGATGAGTTGAGAGTTACTTCCCTTCCGCTGAAGACACTGATCTGTCATGATTTGTCATAATATACTCTTTAAAAAAAGAAACTTGACATAGATGTAAAACCACTTTTTGCCAAATATCTAAAATAATTACATTAAATGAGAACCAAATATGTCAAACAGAAAGATGGTGTGTCTATAATTCGCGAAAACACATGCAAAGCACATAAACATAGCGTTTGGGGATCAATTTTACAGCTTCATCCAAACGCAACCGCCTGTAAAAAAAGTGCAGCACAGGATCCTGCATTTAGGCATGCAGGCCCCCCTGCTGAATGGGTTTAAAAATCAACATCAACGGCTGTTCACACAGTCCTAATAACGGCAGTAGAGGCGGTGACAGAATGTCAAGACTGAATGCAGCTCAACGGAACAACGCCATTGGGAGATTACAAGCTGGAGCAACTCAGCAAGAAGTGGCCAGGCACTTTGGCGTATCCAGACAGACAATCTCTGCACTGTGGACCCGATACAACAACACCAACAGAGTTGACGACAGACCAAGGTCAGGAAGACCAAGGGTGACTACCCAAGCACAAGATCGATACATCCGGCTGCGACACCTCCGAGACCGCACTACCACAGCCACGTCTACAACCACACAGATCCCTGGGCTACGCAGAATATCAGATCAAACGATACGCAACAGACTGAGGGGGGCTGGACTTTTTGCACGTCATGTATTGACCCCACGTATTGACCCCACGTCATCTGGCGGACCGTCTGCTTTGGTGCCAACAGAGGGTTAGATTGGCACGTGCATGGTGGAGAAATGTACTGTTTACTGACGAGTCCCGTTTCCTACTCACACATGCTGATGGGTGCGCACGTGTCTACAGACGTCGGGGTGAATGTTACGCCCCCAACTGTGTGCAGCAGGTTGTCCCATTTGTCGGCGGGAGTCTCATGGTATGGGCCGGAATTCATCACGGTGGTAGGACGCCTCTCGTGCATGTGGCAGGTGCATTGACAGGTGTGCGTTACAGAGACTTGATACCTACAGCCTTACGTTCTTCCTCACGTCAACCGTTTATGGCGGACAGTTCCAGCAGGAAAACGCTCGACCGCATATTGCACGTGTTTGTCAGGACTTTTACAGCACAGCAAAATCCAGACATTATTTGGCCAGCCCAGTCACCAGATTTGTCCCCGATTGAGCATCTGTGGGACGAGTTGGATCGACGCGTTCGCAGAAGGAATCCATCGCCCCAAACACTTCCGGCGCTTCTTGATGCACTTCAGCATGAATGGCAGCACATCCAACAGCATGTTATTGACAACTTGATTGCATCTATGGGTCGTCGGTGTCAAGCGGTGATTGATGCACGTGGTGGGCACAACCGATACTGACATTTTCTGTACCCCTGTGACATTAACTGTATCGTGTACGACACGATTAATGTTTTGAACATTTTGTACATTGATCTTCAAACAGTGTTTTAATTATGGTTTCTGTGTCCTATTTTGAAACAATCGCATTATATTACATTTTGAAAGTCAGTGTCAAGTTTCTTTTTTTGAAGAGTATATAATGAGTTTTGAAGTTTTTAAGCATCTTAAGATAGATTTTCAGCTGTTTTAATTTTAGTATGTTAACTAATATGTTTATATGGAAGCGACAGTAAATGAGTGGTGTGAGTTGTTTTTTGAACATTTCAACTTTTGGGATTCTCAAACCAAATTGTAAAAACCCTGACCTTTTATCATGTTTATGAATCAGTTATTCATGTTCGTGTGGCTGAAAACTCAGGTATTTCTTTGAGGTTTTGTGTATTCTCATTGTTTATTTTTTATGTACAGAGTGAGGTCATGCACTTTCTCGAGGCAGAAATGTGTTGTATTTGTCCACAAGTATTGTGAAGCATTAATACAGAAAATCACAAAATTCTGATTCGGACCTTTTCTTCTGAGCAGCTGCATGGTGCAGCTGG